TAGTCCCAAAATCTTGTTATATTACTTACTTTATAACTTCAAAATTAAAAAAAAAATATTTCCAAAACCCTAAACAAATGTTATATTTATATAATTTTGTAATATATCTCAAGAAAAAAACCTAGAAAATAATTATATTTCCTACTCAGACCACTCTACCCTAACCACAACAAATGTAAATTGTCTTACCTTTTCAAAAGATACGACGTTTTCAAAAAATATGTCGTATTCAAAAGATACAATATTAATTAATAATTTAATTTTTTTATGGTGTTTTCATATAATGTGATCTCAATTTTCCACAAATTATTATGTTTCTTTTATTATGTTTTGACTGGTCGATAGAGGAAAGGTGCAGTGTAGTATTATTTTTATCTGCGCGCACTTGCCAACCGCACATCCCCTCCCGTCCTAACTTTTAAACTCTTGTAACTTCAAAAATAGTTATCCAAAACTCGTTATCAACCAGTCAACATTCTTAGTGAAATATTTTTTATTTGAAAAGTTTAAAAAATATGTACGTTACCATTGAAGTTTAAAAAATTGCTATCAAAAAAACTAAAAATCAAAATTATGAATTAAACCCAGTGAGATATTGAGTGGCCCATGATAAAAAATCACCCTGTATAGTGAGAAAAAGATAACAAGAGTCATAATTTGCAAATTCATTTCTAACCTTGTTTTCTATTCTTCAGGCAACCAGTTTTAAAGTTTCATAACAATAAAACAAAAAAAAATTACTAAAATATAATATAAAATATTGATCATAAGAAAATCCATAGGTAGTTTATTTGTACAATAAGCCAGTTTTAGTGGTATGCACATTATACTAAATGTTATTACATTTAATAAGTTTAGGCTCAACAACTAAGTTTACAAATCAGTATAAAAACTTACAAAAGTAAAATTTATAGTAAAAAGTATACATAATCATACGAGTATTTTTACAGTATAAAATTTAAAAAAAATAATAATAATAATACAGCACATCCAGCTAAATGCTAATACATAAATACAAAACTGTACAATGGCTAATGCAAAAAAATACTAAAAAAGTCTACAAAAATAATATACAAATTTCTATCACAGTTACACATCATTAGCAATTGAGTATCCATAAGTAGGCGGGTATTGCCATTCAATAGTTTGCATACCACAAGAAAGCGGTTAATAGAACTAAAAAAAGTTTAGGGGTTCGACATTCCGATCCATTTTGATTGTTAGCTGATCTTGGCAACGAATTCGTTTCTTCCTTTGGATCACCTAGACAATTTAATTAATAAAAAATATTGCCATTTAAATATCCAATATTAATATACATATACTCTAATTATTCTGACGCAGCGACCTCCTTATCAAGGGTACAAAATGAACCGAGAAATGCATTGTTATCGTCACATAAATAATTTTATAGAAACACTTGTCGAATAGGTCCTTTAATAAGGAATTTGACCTTATATTGATTGCAACCGATTGGCAAAAACTCCAAAACATACAATGTATATTATAATATAGTGGCATAGCGCTACCTTTAGTATTGAGCATTTGAATAGGGACAATTATTCTTTTAAAAATAAAAGGGTCCAACCTCCAAGTGGTTGCTATTTATTAGGAAGACAGGCAACGTGTGTTTTTTTACGTGTATTGAGAACGGATACCACACACAAGCTATGGTACAATATAGTGCAAAGTGGAGAAACTTCAAAAATCGTAAATTATCTAGTTCGCAATCATTGAACAGTATCTTAGGGCGTTTTACTATTCTGTGGTTTAGATTCAGTAAAATTACTGCACTGTATAATATCCAAAATTACCTTCTGGTAAAACTTTTAACTATAACACTAAACAACTGTGCCCAATGGTTTTATTTTTATCTTTTTGTCTTTTAAGAAATCCCGTGTGAGCGACTGAATTGTAAAGTGTGCCTACAATTAAATATAAAGAGATATAAAGTTTAAACGATTAATGTGGCGTTAAGCGCGTAGGGATCAAACATAATATTCAATTTCTGTAATGAAGTACCACAAAATTACCACATTATGTCTCAAAACATTTCTTCAAACATTTTGACTGTAATTAAAATTTCAATAGTATTTGTTTTTTGCTAAGCTAAATTGTTAAGAAATGAGAATGTGATTTTCAAAATGACTGTAGTTACCACTAAAAAAAACACTAATATAGATTTGAATAATATTTAAAACATTTTAGGTGTTACGACACTCTTAGCAATATAAATATTATGTACTTAATTTTGTCATAACTTATGAAAATAGGTGTTCTTCCCTATGTAAATGTTGATATCCTTATACAGAACTTCAACTAAAACTACTTAAGTAGTATAGACATAAAATTATGTTTTTTTATGACTCATTCTGGAATGCAACGTTTAAGAGGACGTCCCACTACCAATTTACTACCTACGAGAAGTAAGAGGTGTATATAAGACTTAGTTATGCACATATTTATTAAATATTATTCATAAGCGGCGTTTAATCAAGTTAATGTAAGCTTTTAATAAAGTTGTATTAATTTTATTATTTATATTAATAGTTATTAATATAAATAAATATGATTTATATTATTAAATTAAATATAATAATTTACTTTACACGGTTAATTTATGTGGATATAAGAGCAATTTGGGAGAGTCCGAGTGTACTCAACGCGGCCTAGTTTTAAAATTTGTATTCCCCAAATGCACCTTAAGGATTATCCAAGAACGCAGATTATTCTTGATCGCTTTGCTTTCCAGAAAATTACTATTAAACATATCCGTCACAAAAGTAGTAAGTAATGTCTTGATCTGATTTTTTTTTGTAAAATTAACAGAAATAATCGCATTAACTTGAATTTTTGAATAGGTTTAATAAAATAAAGTTTGTTTAACGTTGTGTGTGAAGGAAAAATTAAATTATAAAACATGCCCAACGCCATTACGCTATTTGTGCGTCCAGTTTACGATTAAACGGTATATTATATTATTATGCCCCACAGCGATTATATTGTTGGGTTTTTAACGATTAATTATTTCAACTGTTTGTTAATGACTAATAATAGTAATATTTAAAATACAATTATTGTTATGCAATTTTCAAAATGGCCCACTGTTTATAATAATATTTTAATGTTTAAAAAAAATTATCATTTACAAAAACTACGAGTTATAACTATTTGACCTATATTATAAAGGGTTTTTTTAATGGCGTAGACATTAAGAAAAAGTTGTCACGACCCACGTTATTTATTTTTGGACATTTTTGCGAGTATTTTGAACCCCGACAATCTGTCTTCAACTGAAAAATAATAGTATTATAATTCCGTCAATTTTTTAAAGGCTCTTCACACGTACATAATCGGGTAAGCTTCGTCTCCGTCGTCGGCGGGAATCTTTTTCCACGCGGTCGCCCTCGTCGCATAAAAATACCTCCTTCGCCTCACACACGCCTCGTTTATCTTACTTCCATGCAGCTCTCGTGTATATATATATATATAACATAAATTGTGTTTTTCGATTGACAATTTTTGTTCACCTTTCAAAATAATACTGCGTAAAGGCACTATTCCACTACTGCCGGGTTCTTTCGTGGTTTTGGTAATGTAGTACGTCGTTTTTAATTAATATGGGTAACCACTAATTGCTGTAACCACACGTCGACCGAGTTGGGTTATTTTAACTTTACGGTAACCTGTGGTATCAAGTGGTCGATAACACGAATTGACCAATCAGGAAGCAACGTTTCGCAGGGTCAACACGAAGTACGCAAACACAGTAACAGTGGAATAGCGCCTTAATTATTTTTACTGAAGAGTGAAGATCATCGACCTATTTTTTTTAGTATCTAAAATGATATGTTGATATAATATGATATCGCACGAGACAATATTTCTTATGGATATGTCTGAATTGAATTTCTCACTATTTTCCACCAAATAAATGTTTGATCGAGATAGGCAACTGCAAGAAATGTTCCAAATAATATATTGTTTTCAAAACTCAGAAACTTTTATACTTGATGTATAAAATAGGACATTCTTTGCAGTCGGTGGTATGCCTGTAAACCTTAATTCGTTCGCGTATAAGACGGTTATTAAATAAAATGTATATATTAATACAATGTAATATGTATACTACCCAGTGAATATGCTAAAAAACTTCTAGTTTTTAGAACTAGAAGTTCATAGGAATTAATCGGAATAATGGAGTAAAATCTATTGATTTAACGCAAGACGAATTCTTTTTTGAAAAATAAATAATGATAATTTTCATTTTATACGGCCTAAAACGTCGGCCACGGTCGACAAAATTACAATGACTTGCGTCGTTGTTCAATAATACCCATATTATAGCAACAGGTATTAATTTATAAATATATCTTATATGACAGAGAGAAAAAAATGTATTGCAAATTGCTAACATTTTAAACAGCATTATGCATATATAAATATTTTTTACGACAATATATCAATAGTTTTCATTTTAATTTAAAAAAATGTATAAATTGAACAATGTGCTATAAATACACAAAATTTCCTATTGTAGTATTTACTACTACTAATAATAATAATAATAGTAAAAAAATCTTTACCTTTATAAGAGGTAAAAATCTCACAATAAAATTTAAAAAAAATATATATATATACATATACATATATAGGCATATCTATATTTATATATCATATAAAAACACATACTTTAATATAATAATAATAATCAACATAGTATATTCTGCTATATACGACGTCAGTTTTAAATACATACAAAATTATCAATAACATTATTATTATTATTTAACTATGTATAGCATAATATTACAACGACGCGTAAAATTCAGTCTTAACGAAAGTACATTTACCCAAATACTGAACTCGTACATTCAACGTTTTTGAATTTATAAATATACATACATAATATATAAATTTCGCGAGAAACGCACAACAGATCCAAATTAATCAGTTATATATTATACATACATACTATTCATTACAGTATAACGTTGACGGTCATAATACAATTATTCTTTATCGTATAAATATATTGCTCTGTTTTTTTTTTTTAATGTTTGTATTTTAGATGAAGGTAGGAAGATCCAATTCTGGTGTGGTGTAGCCGAACAACGAAGACTGCGGTCGGAGTCTAGTCCGGTTCGTATTTGGCACTTGACGTGAGTTTACATACTATACAATAATATGTATGTATCTATAGGGTAGGTACAATGTACATGCATCGTGTCCGATCAGAAACGTTTAACAAACAAGAAATAACAATTAGCGGTGCACCGTCGTACGCCGTATCACATTTTCAATTTTCCTCTGACACCGCCTCCGTTTTCTGTTAACACAATCCAATTTCGGTGGTATTTTTAATCTGTATAATATACTCCGGTGTGATTTGTTGTGCGTGGATGTGTACAGGTGTGGATATGAATTTGTGTATTATTTATTTTTTTAATTTAGACCGATTTCTAGCCAGCGTACCCGAAATTCCGTTACACGACAGGCGGACCACAATCAGCACCGAACGCAGCCCTCACAGCGTCTACACAGCTACAATAGCGTAATACATAATATAATAATATACAAAGTAAATTTACATGGTATAATCACAAAGATTCTGTTATAACATAATATTATAATCAGAGGCGGACTGGCCAGTAAACGACCCGAGAGGAATATAAAACTGTACTGGCCCTTTTTCATATGTATATTAATTTGACAATTTCTCCATCGATTACTGCGGTCACAACCAATAACGCGATGACCGTGACTTTAAAAAGCAAATACCAAAATTTATTTTGCAATACAAGTAGATGGTAACATATAAATATACTAATATAGAACCAATAGGTAAAGTAAGGGGTGAGTTCTTGTCGAAAATTATTTGACAGATTCACCACACCGCGGTGGACACAAAAGACATGTCACATGCACATATCCATATAATTTTGTAATTTTCCCCCGACTTTCCTGACCAGTCCATCCCTAATTACAGCACAATACGATAAATAAATATTTTTTTTCTAAACAAGCAAAATATGTAAAGCGGTCCAAACCAAATACTAAATATTTTACAAACCACATGCAAAAAAAATGTATAAGTATATATAATATAATCTAAGCTCATAAGTGAAGTATTAATACATATATATATATAACAAACTACAGTGATGATAATAATATATGATAGGTACAGCTAAACTGTTATACTAAAAAATGCGACTGATAATAATATAATATGTATTATTATTGTCTATTACGTTAGTTCACAGCCGACTTCTGTCGCGTGCTCTCCGCAACATCCTAAAGTTATTTTATAATTTTACAACAACGAAAAACCAATTATTTTGTTAAACAACCGTGGCAAAAATATTAATAAGTACCATTTTGTCGCATGCTTCTATTGCGGTATACCGTTATTCCAGTAATCATCCACGGTTTATGTATATATGTGCGTTAAAAACAAGCAAACCCACATGAAAAAAAATTGTCAAAAAAAAACCATCACGAATAAACAGACGTACAATTAGCGATCGCATAATTTTTTATTATTATGTATAATGTGGTAATAGTGCTGAGGGGAAGGATGAGATTTACGCATTGATATCGTGCGCGTTTGATCAACATCCTCTAAGACATGACATGCAAAAAACATGCATTCGCGTTTCTTGGCGGTATATTTCACAGTGTGGTGGCACAATAAAATTGTGTTGTCTTGTCAGCGAGGTATAAAACCCTCGTACCGCACTTCCAGTAATGAATTATAGCGTAAAATTACAAAGTGTCATTTAAACAAGATTGTACAAAGTTATGCCCTTTATTTTGCTAATTGGTTACCTTCAACCGGTAACCGGTAAGTGCAATACGCGGTTTTTACGTATCTCGCATCAGACCAAAGACAACAGTATTAATTTTACCGTGACGCTTTTGAATACCAACAGAGCCACTGGTTCCACCAACCGTCGTTAAGCGTTTTATCTATCAGTTTCCGTGTAGATTAACAATTTTTTTATTACGAGTATTGTTAACGCTTAATAGAAACTTGGTAAAATCGGTCTATAGCTTTGTGTACAGTATTATGTACACAATACCTCCACGATTGCGATGAACTTAAAACAGTCTGAAACGTGCCGTGTAAAAACCAAGCTCTTGTCTATTTATACATAGACAAATATAATATAATAGCCACGAGTCCATTGCAATGATTAACCGTGGTAACGTCAACCGGTGACAAATAATAAAACGTCCGGGCGTTTATCGGCAGCAAAGCTTCTCACCTGCGTCCAATATCAGATCCCCAACGACGGTGTTTTGAGTGCCTTTGTGATCGCTTCTGACTTCCATCCGCGTCGGCCTTTGCACGCTTGATGCCGTCGTGACTTCCAAGTGATTGCCTTTGTTTGCTGCCCTACAGCCGAACCACCAATAACCGGAGTTCCTGGGGAAAGGCGGATCCGCGGTGTCCACCTGCAGCAAGACAAAAATCAATAACAGCCAAAATAAATGGGTGCTTACACGATTATAATAATATCGTGTACATTGTTTTATTTAATTTGTATTATTTTTTATGCGCCTCAATAACCGACGCTCTGCTAGGCACGTCACAACATAAGAACATAAAATCGCGTGTACTTACCGCAAACGTCCTGTCGTTGAACCTATAGTAGTTCTCGTCCTTGAAGAAATAAGTGTACCCGTTGGTGTAGTGCAGAGCCGCGTCTATGTTGTCCGGTATTCCGTCCCAATTGCTTATGGGTTTCGGGTACGTGCTCTTCACCGGCGGTTTTTGCAACGGGTCGAATTTCCAAAATTTTGTACCTGGAATACGCCATCAAGTGATAGTTAGCTGTAGTGAAATATTTTGGCGGCTGTAGTAGTCTTACGCACAAGGAAACATTTCCTTACTTAAAAAATAACTTAGTATACCTATAAAAGGTGAGAAATCTTGGACATCCTTCGAAAAATCGCTAAAATATTTAGCTACCTATTATTTATAGTTATATATGTAACTTGGTCGGCAGAAGAGTGTCGGGAGGTATGAAGACATAGATCGATAAAGAGATCAGTGGCGCGACCAGGATCAATTGCGGGAAGAGTTAGTAGTTCCAAATTAACGATACTTCTTATTCCTCAAATCTCACGTTATTTATATATTAAATAACATTTTTCCAACTTAAAAATGCACTTAAACTAACTCCAATTATAAAGTCTATTTGTACCCATAAATTATATAAATATATGTTTTGTGCTGTAGTAATGAACTCTTAAAAGTACTCCCAACAGAGGTTGGCGGCCAACCGTTGGCCCCAATAGGAGAAACGCCATAAGCCAAATGCATAATTCGAGCACGATATCAAACGTGTGATCATCATGCAAATTTATACCATCTCGCAGTGATACACATCTGGTATAATAGTTACGCGAATATAACTGTCCAATACAGTTGTTATATAAATCATGTAAACAGCCGTGACAAGCTGAGTTGGCTTATAGATGCTAAATGCCTGTACATTACACAAGAGTACCTACGACGAGGCGACCAACGTTTTTTTTAAATACTTTTTGTAAGTACAAATGATAATAAGAGTCGGAATAACAGTGTGCCAATAAGAAACGCTTAGAGACGAATGTACAAACAAAAACGTCAAGTTGTAAATAGTTGATTTTTGGATAAACAAGACGGGACAGTGAGAGAGACGAGCTCATTAGAGAGAGTGCGGCGGCGGATCGCGTTAAAATTTTAGATAAAATGCGGATGAGAGTAAAATATACATCCGACTCGAAAGACAGACAGTGGAGGAAACAAGAGAGATGTGCGCAGAAGGTAGTTTCGTAAAGGGAAAGATTAAAGAGAGAAGTGGCGGATATAAAACAAAAGATTTAAGGAAAACAGAGTGAACGCTAGGAACAACATAAAGTTCAGACAAGGCATAATATATTATCTTTTTCGCCGTCGCCATCGCCATCGGTGGTTTAACGCTTCAAAAATATTCCACTTAATCAACGCTCCCGGTTAGGTGAATTAAGTAATTATTTTTGTTTGTGCACCCCTTTTTTTTTGCATTACTAAAAGTTATTATTATAATTTGAGTAACACTTTCTTTGCGTAGATATAACCACGGACTAAGTCATGGCAAAATTAATTCTTATACCGCATGCTTGTACAGCAATAGCGCCGTAGCTAATGGAGAAACTCCGAGAACAATGTTCGACGTCTTGTTACTTATTTTTGTTAGACTGATAAAATTATGTTAGAATGAGGACAAGCTAATGTAAACGATTATGTTTTGAGATCCAAAAGGTCGTTCGTATGACCTGCGGTTGAGTGGTGATTTCATTTTGCGATATTCCAAGTTCGCCTTACCTTTGAAAAAGTATATTTTTCCATTTCCACTCCAGACCAACGCGGCATCCACATTATCCGGAATACCGGCGAATCCTTCAGCTATGTCTTTCGGGTATCCATCATCCATGGTCGTTCCTGTATACTTCCAATATTTTGTACTTTTGAAGAAGTATGTTTTGCCGTTTTTGTACGTGAAAGCGGCGTCTATGGTTCCTGGCAGACCGGACCACGTTCCCGAGATCGATTTTGGATAACCTTGGGCCAGTCCGTCTACAGTTAACTTCCAATAGTAATCGCCTGTAACGACCAACCATGTATGTTAATTATCCAAAGGGTTCGTGTAACAGTAAATAGGCTTTACCTTTGAACACGAAAGTTTCGCCGTCGGCGGAGTTGAACAGTGCATCTACTTTGGTGTCGGCACACAATTCGGCGTCACTGCCCTCAGTGCCTGGAGCTTCTTCGGTCGTTGTCTTCTTGCCCGATCCCTGGCCGGTGCTGTCGTCGTCATTGTCACCGCCACTGCCACCTTCGGCCGAATTGTTCGCACCGTAAAGGGCCTAAGAGTTAAAAAATACAAGCTATTATCAGTATTCAAAGTGCGCGCAGAAAATTACCACGCCAACCTGTATAGCTTCGACGTCGTCACTGTCCAAATTAAATGACGGATCGTAACCCCTGTAAAACGGTGCCATCAATGCAGACCTGACATCGGAATGAGAAAGACCTAAAGAGTGACCGAATTCGTGGGCTGCTACTTGGAATAAATTCGTACCTAGAAGCATAAGAGCATAATAATTATGTATAGTGAAGCAACTAATAATGTCTACCAAGCATAAACGTCTATTGTATGTTTTTCAAACCAAAAATTCAAATTGTTTTCATACCAACGTCACACGATTACGCCTCTATACAAAAACGTATATATATATATAAACGACACCAATAAGGGAAAAAATGCATACCTTTTAATGTATTTCTTGAATACCATTCTTCTCTAAAGGAATGCATTTATGAATTCTTTATTTTTATTATTTGTAAACTGCGGGAATGCATTTCGTTTAAAACGGAATACAAATATGAATTTAAGAAATGGATGCAATTTTTAAAATAACCTTCCTTTTAGATTTTTTTAAATTTATTATAGGAATTTATTTAAAAAATTAAGACGAAATACATTTTCATGTTTCTCTATTAATTGCCTTAAAAAAATTTGGTTTCATTGTTGACCTTCCTGATAAAATATAAAATGCATAGACTGATGCCAATGTTTCATTTTTCAATCTTTTCTCTACTCCTCTGATATAGAGGCTCAATCATTTTATAGCTTTATAATTTTCAAATTCTTGGAAACCTCTTTTAGTCTTATGCACCTTAAAAAGCTGGAATTAAATAAGTTATTCCCCAAATATCTGGCAAAATACATATATACTCGTAGCTTAATACATGATAAATTATTTAATATAATAGATATAATACTTCGAAATGTGATTTTTTTCAATTTACCTTTGAAAGAACCAATGGACCATTTTTCTGAGTCGTCGAAATGGGCATCACCCCCATAGACTGGAAAGAAAGCATGAGCAAGCGTACCTCCTGGTCCATCAAAAGGATCGCCATCTCCGTGTTCTCCTTTTTCAAATCTGATTTCTATATGTACCTAAAAACAATTAATAAACAAAGGGTTAGCCGAGAGTTAAACAAAACCGGCTTCTTAGATTTTACAACCACTTGTCTCAAATGATATAAAATGTATATTTTGATTGAATCATCAGTCATCTTTATTATATTATGCTATATTATTCTATATGATTCCTATAGTTTGGTATTTTATAATGTATTTTCTTTCTAATCATTTTGACGATCTGTCGAAAAAAAATCACTTTTCTTGTGTAACTCGTGGTGGTAGGTCCGGTAGAATAAAAACATATTAAACATGGTAAAAACGTGACTTACTTGTCCGGATCTCTTGTGTGTAAACGTCAGCGGTGTGACTTCGGACCATACGTTGAACGCTTTCCGGACTTCCGAGTCGGTCTCAGACTTGCCCAACAGCTTGGGATACTTGGATATTCTGTACGTCAAGTCCTTTACCCTCCATCTGCTGCCTGCAAAACGTGATCGTTTAATATTGTATTGTTGTAATGATTTCGTGCGTGTATCGTGTAGTCGGGGTGTCAGTTGCTATCATTTTCTAGTACACATTACATAGTTTTGATATATATTTGTGCAGTAGGTACCTAGAGTTCATCTACCCCACTAGATCTAAACTGTATTAATTTAAAAAAATAATATTTTTTACTGTCGAAAAACTTATTGTTATATTATGTGGTTATTGAACCAAAGAGCACTCAAATCGCCATATATACTCAAGATATTAATAAATCTGTTTTGTCGGTTCATGCAGTTTCGTTCGTATAATCCCCCGTCAAACGATCAACTTAAATACTTATTGTTTTGGGTTTAGGTGTGTGCGATTTTATCTATTCTTTGCACGCCATTGCACAGTAATGCATTATTAGCGCCCGGGAGACGATTAGCCGGTCAAGTTAGGCGAGAGGAGCGTATGCATTATAAATGCACGTAGGTATATTATTATGTTTATACTGCATTGTGTGTGTGCAAAATGTACACGACCGTAATAATTATTATCGTTCACGGCGGATTATATTATAACGTTCTCGCATGACAAACACGACACTGCCTCCATCGCGTTTCCTGAATCCCCTGCAACGTACTTTGTTAGGTTTTTTTTTTTTGAAAAATTATTAATAATAATATCATTATTATTATTTGTCGTTATTATCGCGGTCCGACCGGAGCAAGAAAACGCGGCCGGTCGAATTTTCCATGGAAATTCGTTTCGTTCGTCAACTGGAGCACGTACAGTATAGCGTAAAAATGTTTTTTTTTTTTTTATCCACTTGTGTGTGTGTGTGTATAATAATTTTTTTATTACCCCGGGAGTTATTATTATGATTTATATTTTTTTTCGATTTTTACAATAAAGTATCCAAGTATATACCTATCTCTATACACGCTGTCGATTGGTCACGGCGTTACACGATAGTTTTAGGCGTTGAAAACGCCACCGACGTCAGAGGGAAATGTCCAACAGACGATTCGTGACGAAACCGTACGAGTGGCGTGCGTGTGTCTGATTTGTGCCAAAAATACATAATAACACCGAAGGTCTTGACCGTTTCGCTGAGGTTAGAAAAAACACGTTTACAATGGCCGAAATGTTGTTGAACGGTCGAAATTCGAAAAGTGCCCGTGATCGATGATAGATATTTGGAAACTTTATACAATGCTGTATACCTAGGTCTTTATTTCGATTTTTCCACCGGCAATTTGGATTACACAATCAAACTGCAATTTTTAAAAGTGGTAAAAACTAACGTTACACGGGCACACGGTACATAAAATACAGACACGTGGTCGTGTAGATTAGTTTTTCTAGGCCGTAGTGTGTTTTAAAAAATTAAAACCTTATTTGCCCAATCAATACATTTTACAATATTTGTCGAGTACGATTTTTTAAGTATTAAATAAAATTTAAGATGGTATAATATAACAAATGTAAATTCTAATATTTTTTTACCAACAAATCGAATAAAATATGCAACTCTGGGATCAAAAGGAATAAAATTTGATTACTTAGCTGTGTTATTGACTTTATCCACTCATGAAGAATTTTGAACTCGCTAGCTCTTTACGAGTAACTCCTAAAATCCAAAAAACGTTCAATAATAATTATAAGAACGACCGTTCTTAAACAAATATTTTGTTATGATTTGTAGAAACTTTTTCTATTTGAACTGACCGTCGAATCTCGAGTAAATCTTGTATTACAATCTGATTTTAATAAATAAATCCCAGACCACGTCTACAGTGTTTGTTCGCATTGAAAATAGTCAATGGTATTATAATAATTATTGGATAAATAAATGGTAACTATTACATTCCTACGTTGTGACCTTTATCTGTGTTTTTAACAAGATGGAACAAACAATAAAACGGATGTATCGATTTTAAACGCATACAACGTGCGCAGAAATACCCACCAGTGAATTTTAATGAGCGAGCAATAACTGCAAGTCGAGTAATTATTTTGTAAAAAAAAAAAAGTACAAAACAATATCTTTCCGGTTGAAAAGTTTTAACGAGTATTTTACAAGTGTGCGCACATGCTGCATATTTATCGAAGCCTGTAAATAGGGTACACTAACGACACTCCACTTGACACGGTTCTTGCTCTTCTAGGGCGGATGAAAAAAAAATCATGAACCTATTTTATTATACTACACCTACTGTAATCGTATAGGTTAATCAACGATACCGGGCGACATATTATTTTTATCCGAAATTGTTATGTAAAACCGGTAAAATTAAAAATTAAAAAAAAACGAGGAATCCAATACCGGATATTGAGCTGCTTTAGGGTTCAACGTGTAATTTAAAGTGCACAAGTTAATGAGTATATAGTACTTTGTTTCATAAAACGTATTCCAATTCAACATTTTCCTCAAATCATTTTGTAAAATATACTAGAAAATTTTAAATATCTTTAATTACGTTTTACACAATGAATCAGTGCATCAAAATAGAAAGCTGGGTATTGAAGAGTTAAAAAATTCAGTTTAAAGTTACTTTGTAACTATTAATTAAGCGAGGAGCTGTTCAATACAAATCAATATCGACTGAGTTATTTTTCAAAATAACAAAATTACTCTAAAAGAAAATTGTTATCACAGATTGGTAACCGTTGTGTAACTTTAATTATATTATAATATCTAATAGCTTAAAATATATTTAGATACTGAATCTTTGTCTTTGATAACCATCTGAGTAACAATGTAAAATTTGGAGAAAAAACGATTGTCGTTTATTTGTAAAAAAGTTATTTTATTTATAATGATTTAATATTATTATTAACAAATTTGACTCATTATAAAAAATTGAATAATATTGGTGGTGCAATTTTTATAAGAGAAATTTCGGAATTAACTTTTAACAACAAACTTCATTTTCTTTTCAAAACAATTTCAACTAAACGGAATTCCTTTTTTTCTAATTAACTTAAATTAAAGTATTAAAACATTTTGCCCAGCTTTATTAAAATGTATACACCGAGATTTACCTAGTCATTCTATTTGACTCAATATACATATCGAAGCACAATTTTTTGTTATTTAGATTAGAATACAATAGTGCGTAGTACTGTATAGTATTAAACAATATCACATTTTTCATGCAACAAAATATTATAAACAAAATAATTTTTTTTATCCTTGACATTGATAGGTACTGCATGGTCAACCGTGATGTTTTTTTTTACTGTCCACATTATTGATGTATATCTCTAGACCACACACATCCGTTCGGTGTGACTTTCCCATAATTGAAATGTTTTTCATATACTTTTGTTGGTAAAATGAGATATGATGCGTTTTATTATACCGTTTCGGTTAGCAAGTCATTAGCCAATTAACATTTATGAGCCGAGTGGTTGGATGATGCAATCACTTTTAGTCAAATTGGCTCGTCTTGCCGCTCGGTTTAACGTCCAATACAGACAATTAGCGAATTCATCACTTATTTAAAGTTATTTTGAATGGAAGAGAACAATTAATTCTCTCCAGAGCCCGTGGGCCTATATGCAATTATAATTTTAACTAATTACAAGTGGAAAATGCAAAGAAATGTTTATCTAAAGGTCAATATTGAAAAACTAAATGAGTTTTAAACAACATAGTTGTGCCCAGTGAGAGGATATTACAGTACGTCGGTCCATTATTTTTGTTTTGTATTTCGACCCAGAGGATGCTCAACAACAATGATATTATTTGATCGTACGCCGGATATCCTGACATCCGAAATCAACATATATCTAACGTTAATAGAAGGCAGAAATTCACTAAAATAATATAATTCACTATAAATGCACGTGTTAATGAACGCCGTTTGAAGTATACATGTATACTATATTTAGTTTAAATTTATTATTTTACCTAAATGTAGTTTTGACATTTAAAAGAATACTGAGAACTTAAAAAATACCATTAGTTTTATTTAAAAAAATTAAAAAAATTGTATTTACTTTGCCTAAGTGTTACATAAAAATTAGTTTTAATTCACTTATCATAAACAAGTTTAAAACCAGTTAAACATTTAGAGAACCATACCTACTATTATTCATTTTCATCAACATATTTTATTGTAGTTATAATAAACAATGAAAATGTTGGCTTGGAAACGTTTTCAGACCATGATTAATTGTGAGATAAAAATATCATATGGACGTGTCCAACGATGAAGGACGTAACTCGATTTTTACAACTTTTCAGTACAGTCTTTCAAAGTTCAGTTTTAATATTGCATTTCAATTTTTCTAAAATTGTTACAACCTCTTTGGAAGACAGGAGTTACAAATCGTCTCTATGAGAGATAAATAAAACTAAATGCTATCTTAATATTTAATAAACCGAATGATAAAAATCAAGTTACGTCCTTCTTTGTTAGACATGTCGATATAATAGTTGAAAATACTCGACCAGAGTTTTCACTAAATTTTGAACAATAAAAATATAAAACTACATCTACTTCTTGTAAGTTGTAAGCTTCTTTGTAATCAATGAGTGTTTTTTTAGTTATTAGTTCCTATTTTTCAGCTAACAAGTCAAATACATATTGACGCGTGATTGTTTAGAAATTCAGATTCTCAAGTGATGCGAGCGGTGTTACACAATAAAATAATAATATAGAACCCCTGATGTTAGTAATTGTACTATTTTCGCTTTGATTCGAATAGTGTCAATTAATCGTGCGGTTGGCGTCCGGTGTTGCTGCGCCTGTCCTATGTCAACATAAAACGTCATACGCTTGATTAACTGGCGATCTGTATTATTGGTACCCACACTGGTCGACCACAATTATTTTTTATTTTTATTTTTAAATATCCCGCCGTTATCGAAATACGATTATGTCACACGCTCACTATACCTGTACAATATATTTTCTTCTATACAATTTCTTGCAGTACTTAGGTAAGCGTTAAAGAATCCCGTCGGGGGTATAGTGCCCGCTATTTGCAATCGAACTGTACAAAAACGGAAAATTCAGCGTCGATAGTGAATTTTGAAAACGTTTCGGTTTGACACCACACGATACACTACAACCCAATCGTCATTATTATTATTACTATTACTATTACTATTAGTATTGTTATTTGCCACCCCCACTGTTGGTTATATAATAACTTTGTACGGTATTTCTGTGAGCCACGAGTGTGCTATACTACACTGTCGTTGAATAACGTCTAGGCTTTGGAGAGAAAAAGCGAAAAACAGAAGAAATACTGAGATAGACACAATACATACTATGTACATATATGTGTGCTGTGAAAAAAAAACAACGAGAAAAGTAATACTGCGTTGTCTCCTACTAGCAAATGTACGTTTATACACGCATGCATATATGTATATATATATATTGCTTTAACCGGCTATTTGTGTCCTTTTGTCCAAGACCGACAAGACAAGTGGAAAATTGGTCGCATTGAACTTGACAAAACTGCACACAAAAGAGATTTAAGGTTTTGTCTTCATTCGGCACGAAGGAGTACCCCCCAGGTATAATGTGTCGTTTGTGTATTTTCTTTCATTTTTCAACTACCTAACCGTTCCTAAGAATAATAATGGCCAACCCCGTTTCTGACTGAGGATGAATGAACGTGATTTTTTAATCGTTACGTTTGTTTTCTCTCTTATAAATTCATTCATTTAAACATTCTAACGATACTATAACATTCTGTTTTTTTTGAAAAAATGGATGCTATTTACTTTAAAACGATTTTATAGCACACTTTATTTAAACTTTAATTTTATGAAAATAATGTTTTTTATGGTTATTGATTAATTTTGAAACTGTTAATTTCTTGTGAAAAACTACTAAAAATACAAAATTTTAACTATGACAAATTAGACCCATTTAAAATTAGATAGACTTAAGTGTTCAGTAAAAGAAAATGTAACATTACAATAATATTTTTGGAAAGTGACGATAATACAAGTAATGGCACAAATTGTATAGGTAGTCAATAGTGGTTATTATAAATTATAGTATAATAATTATCCAAATTATTGTAGCATATTGTATTCAACAAATTAGAATCTTTAGAATAACATTTTTTTTAAGTTTAAAAGGTTCAAAAACTAGTAATTTCTATTTTTTACACTAAGTAAGTAACGCATAGCGCAAATAATCATTTATACAATGATTAATAATTCTAACAGGGTTGGTTGAAAAACTAAAATTACACACAATGATAATTGAGACGCTCTATATGTCTAAGGGCGTATAGTTTATATTACCTATTTGTTTTTTACGCTAACGCCCAAATTACATGGAACAACGCCTAAATAGTTATGCCGTGACAATAAATAATATGTAATACTACATATAGTTAATATAGTTTAGGGAGACATTTTTTGACAATAATAAATATATTTTATTTTTTACGAGGTACCGTAATGATCTCATGAAAATGTTTTCTCTACTCCAGACTAAAGTAATTCATCGAACGTCATGACATTTCCATTAGCTTATACTTTTTACTTACGCTACTTAAACTTGTATGGTTAGTAGTCAATGTTATTTTCCCCATTTGTGTTAAAATGTTCTTTTCGAACGTAACTGAACTCCAAATGAAAGATTTAGAATAATAATTACCTTGTAACGCGTATCTTCTGGATCTGGAGTCGGTAGCAAATCCCACTTTGTCTCGAACACCACATCTGGGCATGCTCATAAAGTGCAGCGTATCGTCGTCCAAGTGACCTTCGAAAAATATTTAAAAAAACAACGTGACCGGTTAAACATAAATAAGAAAACCGTAGATGAACGGATTGAAGGTGACGGGACGACTCCCAACGCACACATGTCAATACACATGATCCAAAAAAGGGGAAAAACTTAACTATCTCATATACATGAGGTCAAGATTGCTAGATGTTATAAAGACGGCTTGCGCGCTAAAATGTAAAATTATTTTACACGTTTCTTTTGTATTCAGTTGGACATTTAAAAACGGATTTCAACAAGTAAGGATACAGACACAAGGTTGTGGGTCGGCAAGACGTGAGCGCTCTTCTTCCGCAACGCTTTTTTTATTTTCGGCTTCATATTCGTATTGGGAGCACGTTCGCGGATTACATTTGTTCAAAGTCATCCGGCATTAAAATCGTTTCGTTTAAAACACTACATTAACGCCATAATAGAATTTTTCCTTTCCACTCGGTTACCATTATGATTTTCTTGGTCGGATCAAACGTTTGTTACGAATATACAATTAATTATATTTAACTTTTTTTTTAAAACTCTCACCTCTACACAAGCATTGCTCGCGGAGAGTAAGTTGCATTGTTTTTCATAATATTACTCTTGTATATTTGCCTTGATGCAAAAAACAAAAAAGCATAATCCAATTTATTTTTAGGCGACTAATAATACTCGTATCATTTGTTAACGTCCGAAAAGTTAGAAAAAAATGAAAAGCTCAAACCGCTAATTTAATCTGATTGGAATCAAAACGAAATTGGCGTCGAAAAATAACGGTGAAAAAGGGGGAACTACTAAATTGCAAAACTTTCCGAGTGGATTCATTGATAAATAATAATATGTCATTACATCCATGCGAATTAATATGATTATTGAACTGTTATGCGAAGACAGTAAAATGTAGTGTTGACTATTTGATGTCAGTGTCTCGTTAGGCATGCCGGACTGTGTATATATTTTTTTAACGTTAAACTCGATGAAATCAGTGCCCGTTAAACTATACAAATGAAAATGTATTGCTAAAGGCCAACAGTAATTATTATTACCATATTCGTTATCATATTTTATTACTCCCAACGACCTTAAGGTGTAATGTTATTTCAATCGCGTAACGCTACTATATAGTCATTAATTTAAACTTTGTTCATAAAAAATAATCAACGGTCGTACGTAAATAAATAAATTTCAATATCGTTTTGCGCGCGGTGTTTTACAAGTACATGTTTATGATAATAATATTAACAACAAAAAATATAACTCATAACTATGGATCGTTAAGAAAAGTCGCGCTTCGTTGAGGAAGACTAAATATTAATTGTTTATTAATGATTATTATTGACAACGGAAATCGATTTTTATTTGCCGACATTAAAATATAATATGTTCTGACTTTTTTTATTTTTTTATCATATAGTTCATTGAATTCTAAATGGAATTGCAATAATTGTCGGTTGTTTTAGACAACGGGGTTTTCGCAATTTGGTTTAACGTTTGCTTTCCGGTCGACGAGGCAAATGACTTTGGTCGAAAATATTGCTATCGAAAAGCGTGACAACCGCCGGTTAAGTCGAGTCGTTGTCGCGATGCTTAAACGGGCGAAATTGATCTTTTTACACCCGCCGATGACTCGATGAACCAACTACAGAAACTAGCTCGAATAAGATTTAATTTGCCCGTCGATCGCAAAGGCCAAGTGGTAAAACTAAGAACGTCGGTGCTATGTATGTATTTATTTTTTATCCATTTATTATATCCGAATTACACAAGCTAAGTTTTATTGAAAAACGGACATTACGCGTAAGCGATTAAAAAACCATGACAGTGGCTACTTCACGGTTAAGGAAGGTCGTTAATCTCCACGTGTTCACGCCCTTGAGCCCAATGGTGTGTGTGAATCATTGAAATATGACAACACGCGAACGGCCGGTGGTTTTCGGTCGGATGAAAAAACATACACAATAAAAAAAGAAACGTGTAAAAAGGAGCAAAGAAAGCAAATGTAACCTGTCGAATTTTGCGCGTCATAGTGATGCAAATTCAAAGTTTTCAGGTTCACTGACATAACACGCATCGCCTGGTGAATAATGACACTCACGTGTGAGTCAGACGGACGGCGGTGGGAAGAAAACGATTAAACGTATATTTTTATGATAAATGGAGCCCGCGGCTTACCTGTCAAATTCAAACCGGCGAACGACTGAAAGTCCATCAGCGCCCTGGCCATCGTCTCTTCGGACATGATGTGGCCGGAGTGGGGATTTTTCATCGACGGGCTCAAATAACCGTACTGAGACAAATACATCTGCAATTACACATAATCGGATTAGAGTACGAATATTATTGATTATTACCGCGATCATAAACAGCTAATTCTAATACGATTAGTTACTACAATACCCGTTCGGCTACACGACCAAGCTAATGCATACATACGTGCATCAAGCCAATAAAATACATCCAAAAATCAAATTTCTCCATTAATAATATAAAACGAATAGTGCATAAAATACATGAACAACAAGTACTTTCTTCGAACATTTAAATATTGAAAATGTAATATAATAAATAATAATAATAATGTGACTAAATTATTTAGCTTTTTTTCCGTCGGGACTATTACACTGTAACTCTAGCCATTTTCAAGTGTTGTAAATACTCAATACAGGCATAAATAGTAAGTAAACATGTAACACATATTTTATAAAACCATAATTTTAAAACAAATTATTAGGGTTACTTTTAAAAAATTAAATTTTTTTTTTTTGTAATCCGGAATTTTAAGTCCCGGTCCTAATTTTGATAAAAAGTAATACTTCGATTAGTTTTTTAAATGACATCTTACACATGACATACAATTTTTAAAAAATAGATTATGTTTGTTTATATGACTGAACGTTATGCTCGTTCACATTCTTTAAACGCTAAATCATTATATTTTATTTTATTAAATTAATTAAAAAATGTATTTTAATAAAATCATTAGACTCTAATGAAATCTTTTCGAAAATATGAACGGTAAGGTAAATTTAACGAAAAATAATTGTACGGTGTTTGGCTAAAATGGAGTAGGTAAATTTTTGACTAGTAGAGATATAACAGAGATATAAAATTCAACACGTCATATGGAAAATTAAAAACATTACAGCTCAAAAAGTAATACAGTACATTTTGGACACGTCCTTTTACCCGTAACCCGTCCAATTATTCATTTAATATTTTGCCTTCGCCTTGCGATTGGTTAGGTTACATTTAATTATTATTAATAGTATTATTATTAATATTAACTTATCTAAACATATTATATTTGTTTTAACCCTTAAATTAGCAAGAACTAATTTTTTAACATCAAAATAATTAAAATAATGGTAATTTTTAAGTTGGCCACCGAAAGTTACATATAAAACGTATGTATCTTTAAAAATGCAATGCTAAGCTAAGGGTTGTAGAGGTAAAAATGTATCTATTATTAAGTGTATTTATAGGTACTCACCATGGCCTGGGCGTCGGTTTGGATGGCGGCGGCGTATCCTAGTGCGCAGGACAGTAGCACCAGACTGCCGAAAATGGAACAGAATTCGAGAGCAGCCATTGTAATTAAATATTTTCAATTCGAACACTACTATACTATTCAGACTCAACAATAGTCGTGGTGCGAAATTCTTTTATTTTAATGCGAACTGCCCGATCCGGTCGATCGGTATTTTCGCGGGAAAGAAAAGCGTATTTCGACGGGACTGCTCGTGGCGTTTTCAAAAACAAAATCAAAATCTAGTAGTATACTCTGTTGGCGCGTTTAATTTGTGTTGACTTTGTGCGACATCGGAAAAACAAATCACGATTGTTCGTGCTAATTATTCTGTCGGCAAACAAACGCGCGATAACGACTGTATAAAAAAAAAATCAGTTGAAAACGGGCAATCCCGTAGTGGAGGCACGACACGACTCTGCGGCTGATCGGCCGGTCCGCGCTTATTATATGAGTCCCCCACACCACACCGCACAGCTTGCCATTACACTCGGCACACGCACACAACAATAAAATAATATATATATATACAATCTAAAAACAATAACTACACAACAACCGGGTTAGCCAGACGTTTTCCTCAACGCGAAAAGTGTTCGATCTTGTATAAAGTATAATAATATTAACATTAGTTAACGGACACGTGTACGGCGTCTTCGCGAGAGCTACGACCTCCTGAGGACGCGACACCGGAAGAGTGGACGCCGTTGAGAATAAAAGCCCTTATGTAGTAACAATGGTCTAGAATTTTAAATGAGACGACAAAAATAATTAAAAAAGAAAATATTCAATATAACTTTACACGATGAGAACCAAAAGGGTAACGGACGTTTGGATTAAAATATAATATAGTTCGGATCGACAATGCCCTTATAAAAATTCGACGATCATCCTTTTTCTGGATTCAATAATAGCGGTTTATGAGAATACAATACTTGCAAATAAAACATTTTTTATCTGCGTTTGGTTAATGGTTTATATATTTTCATCGATTTTTAAAAGCCATATTGTAGAAAACTAATAAAGATCACCCAGACGAACACATTCATTGACAATACAATCTACATTTTATTCATCTGTTAAAGTGGCGTTTATACCCTTTTAACTCTAACTATTTAAATTAAGATACTGCACTATTTAAAAATATAATGTTACATTTAAAAAAAAATTGTTTACTAATGGATTAAAGTTGAGTGCAAATAAAGTAATAGTTGTTAGTCTACAATACAATTACTAGCAATATTAGAGTTTCAAACACCTCCCCTCATCACTCACTCCCATAATTAAAAAATTATTTTAAATTTGATACTGGTATCAACTTCAAAATTGAATGAGAATTAAATGACATAATTTAAAGTCGTTAAAACTAAAATTTAGAAGACATTATTTTCGATCACCTTTCTGAATTCATGTACGGTGGGTGATGCGACGAAAATGTGCCAAATGCTTGACTCGCAAACTTATTTTCAAAAAAGAACGTAATCTTAGATAAACAAAAAGGCGTTATTTTTGAGATGTTTGGAAAATAATTTCGAAAGTTTTTATTTTCCATAAATGTGTGTTAAATTGATTTTATATCTTTATTTTAAATCAACATTTTCAATTATTGTCTATTGTCCCTGAAGGTGCTATTAGTTTTTACAAAACAAAGAATTTTTATTCTACATGTTTAAATGGTGCAACATTAGAAGTTAATTTAAAAAAAATACTTTCTACTTACAATTTTTAGCGAGATGCTCACTTTGTAACAAATTTGTCACCGATTATAATAACGAGTATATTTAAGTCATGAAAAGTAAATGTAATTTATTAAAGTACACAAAAGTTTATTAGGTGCAAACTGCAAAGTATCCCTTAAAGATATTAAATACATTCATTATGTATTAATAAAAAGGAGAAATTAATATTTTTCTTGCATATTATAGCTTAATTAAAAACTTTTAAAAAATATTAAGAACTTTCATAACTTTGTGTTAACATCATTAATTATGGTTCATTAAAAAATATAATATTCCCATGTTGTAATGTTATTGTTTTAGATTAGTGCTGCAATATTTGAGAAGGAATAGATATGTTACCAATGCACCTAAGGAAAATAAATGAGAAATGCTAGTAGTTATCTTCTTTTGTTTTTGTTCTTACATTTCTGGAAGTCACCATCCTTATACTACCGAAGAAATACACTGACTATATACGAGGTAAGACTGCACTACAAGAACAATCTGGTAATGAACATCGTTTAACACATCTTAAACGCATGGTCCGAAAGTCGCTTTCAATCACGCTTATCTGCAGCGATAATAAATCATTCGACCGACACTAACACGTCGTAGTGGTATCAATTAAATGGCTTTGAACTACTGTGATTCACAATGCAAACGAAAAACAGCCATTTGTAAAATTAGCCATTAATCAGTTTGATAATCTTGTTTTTGTTTAGTCCAACTACAAAAAAAAACCAATATAATTTGAAATTGTTTCAATTAAATCCGTAAAAGTGAGATTTTATGTATTTTTTTTTTCAAAACTTCATAATATTTTAATATCATTAAGCGTTTAGAAAAAATGCTTTTGAAATTAATAAGTACAACATAAATTAAACTGTTCTTGACATGTTTTTACTTTTTAATTTGTTTGTATCATATTTTCGATAAACGATTGGTATTACAAAATAATATGTCATTTCTATTTAGTATAATATGCTCATTATTATGCATCTGGCATAACGATGCGAGTTATGTAACTGATAAATTAAAATTAAAATTTTTCTAATAATAACTATCCAAATCATAATGGCTAATATGTTATTATTGCCTTTGTCTGCATGTGACTGCATCGACTATATTTTTTCCCCTATTAATGTCCAAATGTCATATTTATTTTATTATTAATAGTAGTTAAAGCTAAACTTGAAGGAAGATCTATAAGCTAAGTTAGTTTATATATATGGGCGGTCATTTTGGGGGTAGGGGGAGGGGTGGCTTGAGACACTAAAAACTTAAAACTTAAAATTGGAACTTTTCAAAATACCTACATTTATTTTTTAGTGAGAGATTTATTGAAATAGAAATAAATGTAGCACAAATTTTAAGTTTTAAAGTTTTCTTAACGCTTTTAGAATCCCAAGCCCCCTCCCCTCCCCAAATGTCCGCCCATGTTTATAAATACATGTATAAAGTACGGACGTTCACTGTCCGTATGTAAATGAACATGATACAATTATAAGGTAAACCTATTAACATTTTTTTTGCCACACGTTATACCAAGTTATTCGGGATTGGTTACTCTAACACTGTCTTTCTACTCACTCCGTGTATTCACTCATATTTTCTTCTTTAGTATATAATTGTCTCTCGATGCCTTCTCAGCATTATTATCATGATTTTGACTACTTTCACTTTTTTATTGTTCCTATTATTCTTATAGTGGTTTAAATATAGAAAATAATTTAATGCTATTTAAGTGTCCATATTATTTTTAAGTTGATATTGAGTAACTTACTAACAGCTACGGTAATACTTTAAATTAAGGTTTTGTTAGCCACACTGTTTTTTTCATATGCTAAACTTACACAGAACATGTACAACACTATAATTATTATAGTATAATACGTATCGAAAAAGAGCTTGTATGTAAAGCTACTGATTGAACGGAATACGAAATACCAAGTGAGTCATACAGTCCTATATTAATAATGATCTAAACTTGTACAAAAACTAAAATACCCCAATAAACTGGTATTTTACATTAAAGGGAAAGTATAATAGCCATCCTTCTTCTTAAACGGAACACAGTCGAATGACTAATCTTTCTAATTTATTCATCAATATGTTTTTAACACGGCCGATATTATAAGTAGTTATAACTTATTATAAGTAGGATACTTTTGTAGTACACAAACAATTTTAATAATTAACTAATATAATACCTATTTTGAATTGAACTTATTTTATTTTGTATTATTCAATTTCGATGTCTAGTTAGACTTAGTTTTAAATATGAACGTTCTGTATTTCTTATATCAAAGCAATCACTCCATGAGCACTTAAATAAAAATACATAAGTTGTTTGAATGTTATCATTTGCTGTAAAAAGTGTTATTTAGAGCTCAGCCCATGCAGCTACATTAGAGCAACATTTCAAACACTGCTTCGAATTTTAATATCGAGTTCCTATTTCTTTCTATTTGTATTTTATGTTAATTTTTAGACTCAAAATGTTAAAAACTAAATCTTAAAAGATTACGTGCAATAGTACTAGTGTAAAAAAAATGTTGTACTTAAAACATACAGCACGATCATGTTTCGTGTAGGTAGAAAACTAACAGTAAAAAACCCAATTATAATATCATAGTAATTTTTTCGCTGACTTATTCCAGTGACGTCATTTGCATATTATACTGATCAAAACAAACCGTTACGCATACAATAACGACAGCTATTCAGTGAGAGCATTTCATAGCTATCGCCAAGTCATACTGGTGTGAAATAATGCATAAACTCACCGGTGTCCTTTTTTTTATAATTACCGTATTTCAATGAGATAAACTTGACAGGTTTTTTTTTTTACATTTCTAAAGGTATGCGTAAAATTCATTAGACTGATATACTAACATAATCATCTTAATAGTATGGCACTTGTTCTATCACATGAACATTTGATATAACATTTTTTATTTATGTAATTGTTTTCGCTTTGTAACAACAGTTTCGCTATAATCTTTGCTGTACACAGTACACATAATAATAAGAAATATTATTAGTATTATTATCTCAAGCAATAGTTAAGTCCGTATCTAAATGTTTACCAAATCTATATTGTGTAGTTTAAAGGTCTAGTTTACGGCAGTCAATAAAGTGATCCCAATTGGTATAAAATTAAATAATATTAACTTCTCTTAAAAACTATTTGTATACATCAAACACAGGTAATTGTCATACTCAATAAGCCATACTATGACATTATTATTAACACCGACATAGGTAATCTAACTATTAACGGTTTATACATGTAAAACGAGTTATGTAGTATGACGGTCGGTAGATACTCGACAGCATTCACATGTAAAACCAAATAGAACAAATCGTCAGTTTAACCGATGTTGACTATTCGAGTTACATACATAAGCTCTATAATAGGAAAAACAGGGAAAAATTAAAAATTCCAGTAAATAGTTCGATTCCAATTTAATGTATTAAATTGGAATCGTTTGGTTTTAGTTTCATTATTGTATTTGAACTTTAAGACCTATGACGGTGATAGCGATAGGGCACTATAATATACAATAACACGGGCAGAAGGGAGGAGAGAAAAATGTTTACCAGGTGTTCACATTTTGTTAATTGGTTTTGTGAATGACCTAAAAGAAAATTTATCCAGCCTTGCAAAGTCCAACTCGCGAGAAATATCCGCAGTCTTTTTCTGTATCAAC